GGTAAATCGCCCGAAAATAGTGGACGCGGAGCTCGAAATCCGCCATGTTTTTGCGGACACTTTTTTGTTTGACGAGATATGGGAGCACGGTCTCCAGATATATATAGTAGAGCTCAGTGGTGACCAGCCGCAGCCAGGGTCTCTCCCAGATGACAGACGGAGAGACCCTGGGAACGAGGTTGGGTTTGAATCTGGTGAATAGTAGGATTAATTGTCAAGTTGCTACTGTTGAAATCATCAACCAATGAAACCAACAATGATGGTCAAACACTTGTTATTTGAGTGAGAAAATAATATTTAACCTTGTCATTATATGTAGAAGTTTTGTACAGTTGTACTCGTGTATTTAGTTCCTAGTGAAATTTCATTTACTATTCTATAGCTTAATTTCCGTCGAAAACTGTAGTGATTGCAAGCATTTTGATGGTACGAAATTAGCGTTTTGACCATTCGAAACTTGGTATGGATTAACGAATCAAACACGCTCGTAATCTGATTGGCTCAATGAAAGTGGATCATAATCTGATTGGTTAAAATGAGGGAAGACCAGAAAGTACAAAACAGTGGTAAAAGGATTAAATCTCCTGATATGACAACTATACTGTGATTTATATGAAGTACTCCAATGATCACTTGGCAGCAAGAAATGTGGGCGGATTTTATTACAAGTTACTTCATGTAAGTAATGCTGAAAATTTGTTAGAACTGGAAAAGACGAAAAGTGAAATCTAAATCCATTTTATAAATCATATTTTTCATTTTGTAAACAACTAAGGTGCTTTTGGTTGTGATCATCCAACATAGAGTATTTATGAACTGATTCCTTAACTTGTTCTTGGTAAGTATAGATAGTTCATATTAAATGTACAGTATAAAATATAAATACAGTATATCAACTGACCTATTATATTATGTTTCATTCTTTATTCAGTGGAAAGAAATGCAGAGACACAAGGAACCTTTGAAATTTTCTGAAAGTCCACACGAAGGAGCGAAACATTATCAGTCTCCAGTACTTGCAGCTCAGAGACCATTCTTGGCATCGAGCATCTCAGCTGATCTGCTAAGTGCACAGTGGGTAAGACATTGTAGGGTGAGCCAGTTAACTGGAAAACCCCCAGAAAAAGCCGATTTTTTTTAAACGAAAATTGAAACAAAATGGCAGCTTGTCAAAAAAAGGTGCTAGTAAAATGTTTTAATGTTGATCTAACTTTTAAATGTTAAACGAGGCCCACCAAGGGGTTATGATGTGCAGGTGACATTCCTTAAAAAGAGATTTATATACAGGCTATAAAAAAAGAGCGACAATTAAACAACAGCTTCTGACTTGGAAAAAGCAACAAATAGACCTTACCCAGACCTGCCAAGTCTCACAATTAAATCGTGAGACTCACAATTTTTTATGCTTTCTCACAATCTCACAATTTTTTATGCTTTCTCACGATCTCATGATTAAGTCCCCAAATCTCACGATTTTCGGAACTTATGAAATCATCGAAGAGCGCAACATCTAGTTACAATTAGGCACACTTTTCCAAGGAAACATCACACTTTATTAGTGTATTAATAATGTGTAATGTACAACGCCAGAATTTTGTATGTGTGATGTTTGTGTTACAAAGTAAAAGGTGTGTCCTGGTAAGTTTATTGTCCTGCTAGTTCTAATATTACTCGTAGTTTTCTTGTTTTTATACAGTGGAAATTACGAAAGCCATAAAGAAAAAACAGCCTATTTTTAATAAGCCTTGCATTTACGGTTATATATTAAAGGTGATGTAAAGTCCGTAATGTAAACAAACGCTTTGTTTACATTTTGAACTCAGTGCTACAGTTGTAAAATATGATTAGATATATATTATACTGAATTTTTAACACTCTTCCGGTTTGCTATGCTTGTAAATGAATGCAGACTAGAGATTCAATTCAAGAAAGTTTGGAAGGTGCGAAATATTAAGAACATTCCAAAGGTTGCTCCCCCACTGATGGAATGTGTTGATGCGCAGAATATATGCACAGAACGGACTTTACAGCATATTTAACAAAATATAAATGCATACTATCATAAAATTGAATATCTATTGTCAATAGACTATTGATATATTAATGAGCAAACCTGAAAATTTCTAATTCTCATGATTTTTCAGTCAATATCTCACTACATTTTTGATAGCAACTCGCTATTTCTGCTACTCAAGGGTTGGCATGTCTGCCTTACCGATTATTCACCTCTTACCCAATGGCCTTGTTTCCATGTTAACTTATTAACTTAACTACTATTTAATTAGCATGTCAGGGGCACATAAAGATTATATTCCCATGTTTTCCTGGACAGATTTGTTTCTTGCTGTTCTTAGGACAAAACATGAGTAAGTATTTGACATGAAAACGTGGCCATTGGGTAAAAGAAAATTATTGGTGAGGTCTATTTTGATTTGTATTATGGGTAAAAAATGAAGCAAAATTTATTGCAATAAAACAAATGACAAATCAGCTACAAAATGAGTGACAAGCAACCTGAGTTACATCTCGTTTGAAGTAAAGTTTTGAACATGTAGCTTTGAACGTAAAGTTTTGAACGTGAAGTTTAATCTAACTGTAGTGTATTTTGAATTATTTTTTTTCTGAACTGGCTCACTCTATATATGTCTTCATAATTTTATTTAGGTTTCTCCACAATTTCAAAATGAAAATGAAAGTTGTATAAACCCAGATGCTGGAAATAAAAGGCGAAGAGGAGCAAGGGCAGGCTGCAAGAGAACTAATACAAAGAAAACGAATAAAGAAATTGTGAAAATTAAAGAAAATAATTTATTTCCTCCATTAGACTTTCCAAGCAATACAAATGAAATGTTTAAGTACCCTAACCAACAGAGCGAAGATAAGGTTCCAGTACCACGCAGAAGTTTGAAGCGGAAAAAGACTTCACAACCTTTAAATGATGTTACGCTGGTCGACCAACAACAAACACATATTAACATGGAAAAAAATCAATTCCTTTTAAGTTTGGGAAGCCCCAAACCTTCAACAGTTTTGGGTGAAATACTTGTGCACGAAACTCCAGAAAATCAGATGTTTGGGACGAGAATGTTAGATAGAAGACTAAGACCTAGAAATTAGAAATTACATGGCAATGATAGTAGCAAGGCACAACTATTGTAAATTAAATTAACAAATATGCAGGCAAAGGAAAGGTTTTCTTCATGGCTATGGGTTGGTAAATATAAAATAAATTAAGTATTCTAATGGCCACTAATTACTATGTTTATTACTATCACAGTTGCAGAGAGGTTTGCAGGGGGCACAGGGGGAAACTTTCCTAGGGGGCCGTCAATCTCACCCAACCTGCGAACGGGCATGCAATCTTGTATGAAGAAAATTAAAGGGACTTTGATGCTTTGGGGTGTGACTGCCCTGCCTTCTCAGCCGCCCCGATTATTATAGTCCAGCTAAAGAGTGTGCATGGCCGTACATTTAGTTATTGTAGATTTATATTCTTTTACCACCGATGTTTTAGATCAGAGGAAAAGATAATAATTTATAAATTTATGTTCATTGTACCGGTCCAGTATATTAGACCGTGTACACCGTATCAGTGGCAATCATTTGCGAAATTGAAATATGTAAAACCAAAGCGGAAACAAACAGAAGAAAGGGGAAAAAATGGCGCTGATTTGTGGACCAAAATTATCAAATTGTTGCTTTGTTTTGAGCATTTGGGGCATTATAATGTTGGTATGTATCCAATATCTCGCTTTTAATGGAAAAATATTTTGTAGTGTATTGCTTTGGGGCATTTCAGTGTAAATTCCACGTCGAAATAGCGTATAAAAATTCAAAAAGTTTACTACCAAATATAACATTGATTCAGTCAGCTGACAAGCATGCACATATAATAAGGAATAAGATTCATCGATGTTTCCATTTTTTAAAGGTGTTTTTAGGGATATTTTTTCAAGTGAAAAGCGTTGCTTTACGAGAAGATGTAAAAGGTACGGGAGACTATAAAAAGACCTCGAGGTTTGTGTTAAAATACTATTAATGTCTACAGTACTGTATTAAATTTTAATAAACAAATCCATGTGACTATAAAGTGACTTGTGATATTATAACTACATCCGGTTTGACAGAAATAATCACAAATAATTTATCATGAATAAAACTGTTGATTTTTTTCTTTGATTTCACGAAACTTTGGCCACGCCAATTGCGAGGTTGGTTGGGAATTTGGGAACTATAAACACGAGATCATCAAGTTTCATCACAAATTTCGACAATTTGATGCAAAACTTCCGAATTTGATTGGCCGGTTTCCAATCAACTTGATGATCTTGTGTGGCCAACTGGCGGGGCAAAAGTTTTGTTAAATCAACTGTGATATGTTTATATTTAGGAGGAACTATACAAAGCTTGAAAATATGTTTAATTTAAAAAAATTTCCGGAAAACAATCTGACCAAAATGAAATTTGCTCAAGAAGCGTTCAACTTTTGTCAGACGTTGTATTGGCTGTGATAAAATCTGATACGGGAAAAAAATACCGATAACACCTAGGGGTGCACCGGAACTCGGTTCCGGCCGGTTAGTTAACCCCAATTTTTTAGAGTTCCGGTTCCGGCCGGAACTAGTAAAAAAAGCATGGCCGGAACCGGAACTCTGTCGTTTTCAGGGAGATAGAATATCAAACGTTTTTGTGTCTAACAAAAGGTCACAGTAGGAAGAAAGTTGGACTACGCAAGGGAAATGTACACTATTAACACTTCATTATGACGTTTAACGTTTGTCAGTCTTTTTATTCTGACATTTGCGAACTCTCTACTTGATGATTTGAAGTGTCTGCTTGTCTGGCAGTGGACAAAGTAACATATGACTACATATGGCTTAATAAATGAGTTCCGGTTCCGGCCGGAACTTAAAAAACCGGTTCCGGTGCATCCCTAATAACACCAATATATCAATATTTGTTTGTGATTGTATATTGCATGATTTTAAGCAAAATTTTCTGTTTTCAAAGGGTGACTATTATAGGGGGTACACATCTCCGAAAACCGCACTGTTTTTCAAATTTTAACTGCAAACCGCGCTCTAATTTCTCTTTTAAACGTAACCGTGTTCAAACCGAGGCATATATATGTGGTAACATATTTCGAAACATATTCTGCAACATAATGTGAGGCAATAGACCAATGGTCGGTACGTATAGTCACCATTTCTATTGGAGTATTGAAGAGGGAGCCATTTACAAGTTTCACGCGAACTTGGTAGTATAAAATTTGGCAATGGACCTTTCCCCTTATAACTAAAATTTTGCTCTAGACAAAAATTTTATCACAGCTTGAAAGAGCATCACAAAATTAGTAATATTCTGAAGTTTCGTTTCGAAATGTTGTAAAATGCGGATAATATAGCCCTGCAAAATTTGCGATTTTCAGTCATTTTGTATTACAAACGGGAAATTGATGCCCCAACACCCAATTGGGCTGTCAATTTCCCATGCGTAATACAAAATGACTGAAAAACGGCAAACTTCGCAAGGCTATATTATCCGTATTTTACAACATTTCGCAACAAAACTTTGGAATATTACTAATTTTGTGATGCTCTTTCAAGCTGTGATGAAATTTTTGTCTAGATCAAAATTTTAGTTATAAGGGGAAAGGTCCATTGCCAAATCAAACAAAGTCTTAGCAGTTCAAATAGCTATAAAAAGGTTTTCCTTCCATTGCTCAGCAACTGAAAGCCTGGTTGCAAGGTAAAATTTTGCCTTCCTTAGATACTGGAAATAGAATATCTTGTATCCAAATCTGGGATACTATATTTCAAGGATGGATGCTAGTTTCTATGATGCTGGTATCCACTTGGATACTGACAAAAATTTCAAGTTTCGAGCCTTGTTGCTATGCTTCTAAATGAATATGAAATAGAGTTTATGTTCAGAAAAATTTGAAACATTTGAAATTTGGGCAATGTTCACATTAGAGGTCCTCACATTGTTATGAGCAGAACTGATGCGCAGAACGGACTTGACTTCCACTTTAAATTATTGTGTGAAACATGCCAATTTTTTAGTGGTTTCAACGATCTTTGGTTGCAGTAACATGTTAATAAGTTGGAAATTATTGTTAAAAAATCAACATGAATGATGTCACCTTTACTGGGTCAACTGATATTATCATTCACTTTATAGTATTCTCAATTTTGATTGGTTAATTTGCCTGCAAATAACTGTGTGCAAATAATAGTATGAGCATGTGCATTTGTTAAAAACGTTGCTTTGCTGAACTTTCGGAAAATGAGTTGTTTTGCTTACTTGAGGAAGAAAATGCGGAAAACACAAAAAAAGCGACTAAAACCGCCATCAATGTCTTTCGCCAGTATTTAGAAGCCGAACAAATCAACGAAGACAATCTAGTTGGCCCAAAAGAAACTCTTGCCAACGTCCTTTGCAAGTTTTAAGCAGAAGCAAGAAAGAAGTATTAAGTGAAATATATAAGTGAATGATAAAACAATTATTGAACAATTATTAAATTTATAAGTGAATGATAAAACAATTATTGAACTTGGTTCTCGCAAAATATCGTGATTTGTCGGTGGCTCGCAGATCAATTATTTGCCTCTGCCTTCGGCATCAGCAAATAATTGATCTGCTCGCCACCGATAAATCACGATATTTTGCTCAACCTCGTCCAGTACTCACAGTAATTGCTAATTATCATGTCATTATAAAATTGGCATCTGTATCGGGTAGATTGTGGCATGAATAATTGTAATCAGTAAGTTATGATTGCTTTACATATAGAATAATAACAATTTTTGTATATCGCAACAGCCCATGATGTTTAGTAATTAGGGGCTATTAAAAAATTATTTTTAATTCTGTTTAGGAATTGTTTTATTGCCGCTGGCTTATACGTTATCACGTTAGCTATTGCAGGACATCAGAAATGGACTAATCAAAGGATGGCAGCATCGTCAAAACTGTAAGATATTGTAAAACTTTATTGTTACAGTGTAGCAGCTATATTATACTTTACTCTGTCTAATGCCAGATTATGTTACTCTGTCTAACCCCAGACAATTTTACTTGTCAAGGGCAGAGTGCCGCCACTCAATGAGTTGATATATTGTGGTAATTTGTGTGTGCGCAAAAATTTTTCTCAATTTTCAACAAAAATTACCATAAATAATGCATCAAAAGGTAAAATCGCAATGATTAATTTAAAAAAAGATCAATCAGTTTTGATGTTTTATATATACCATAAAAACAATTAATTTGTCTATCAGATATTAACAAATTGATCATGTAGTGCATTGATATTTCCAATTCAAATTGCCGAGCAAACCTGACCTCCAAACTCTAAAATATTAATTTCATAATTGTCTGAACAAATAGTTGTGAAAACTAGATGGACATTATCAAACACTGGGATGTCAATGATTGGGCTGGAAGCTGAGACAAGTGAACATACTTTGAAGTGTTTTTGATCACTATAAAAATAACTTTGAGTATGTGGGCTCGAATGAACCAGCATTTATAAAGAAATTTAGTGTGAAAATTGACATAAGTTAATACTTCAAAACAATCTAAACATTTAAACTGTTAAACTCAGTAATTTAATAATATATGAATATAAACTAATTGTACAGTATAGCCGAAGGTTTAACACTGTTAATTAATTAATCTTGATAATTTATATAAATATAAACTATTCATGACACATATATAATTTTAGAACCAGTTAAGCTATTAAATTAATATACTCTATATATTGATCCAATAAGGTGTGATATTGTTTAGTACATACTGTAGCTTATCCAGTCCTTGTAATTTGGCAGTGGGTAGTTGCCACCAATATTGCAGCCTAAAATGAATTATTGACAGCATTTTTTTGCCAATTTACTATAGTTCAAGAAAACATAAAACTTTACTATATAACATGTAATATATCAATATTTCAGGTTTCTAATAATCTGTTTGTTATTAAGTTATTATTAACATGCTTTCGTTCAATCGAATAATCTTAGAAATTCGAGTACTGATTTGGTTCTCCCACATCCCAAAAGAGAATTCCTCAAAAATAGCTTTAAATTTAGCGGGGCAAAACTTTGGAATAGCCTCCCTTTGCAAGCAAAACTAGCTCAATCTGAATATACCTTTAAAATGAATATTAATAGTCTTGATACATATAACTTACTTATTTCTTCGTAATCTTGTATATATCTTGTAAATATTCTTGTAAATAACTTTATTTATTCAAGTGTGTTCCGACGCCTCTCATGGAAACCAGCTTGTAGCTGATGAGGCTAGTGTCGTTTTTTTTTTCCTTTTTGCTTTTAAATAAAAGTTTACATATGTACATACATACAACTACCTGAAAAATATAAGGAGAATTTCGACATTTGTTCGTCATATGAATGGCCTTCGTTTGAAAAGTAAAAAATTTTCACCTTATATTTTTTCAGGTAGTTGCATCCCTAACAATGAAAGATTGTTATTATATTGACACTACCTCCACTGGCACAGATAGTTCAAATATTGCAGGGTTTGTAGCGGTCTTTGAAATCCTTGAAAGTCTTTAAATTTGATGAATGCAGGTCTTTAATTAAGGTCTTTGAAAAGTCTTTGAATTGCGTGAAAAAGCGAAGAGAGTCTTAAAAGTCTTTAAATTCTTTAGTGTCAGTACCGTATTTGTATATACGATTTCCTAGCTAATAAAATAGATTGACTGAAGCACGAATTTAGCAAGTATCGACGAAAAGGCGCATTTTAGCATGTGATTTGACGGGACTAATTGTTGGGTAAAAATGTTGCTTACACTTGCAATTTTTCGACAGCTGATTGCTCTTAAAGGTCTTTGAAAAGTCTTTGAAAATAGGCAGCAAAAATCTTTGAAAGTCTTTGAATTTGTTTGGTCTTGGAGACTACGAACCCTGTATTGTTAATTTAATAACATGCATTTTGAAATTTGCCATTTTTCAAAAAAATGCTGTTGAATTCTGCTGCTGAAATACAGTAGATTACCATAGAGTATTTTCATTAATTTTAAACACAAAACAATATGACACTCTCTAAATTGTAACATTCTAATTCTCTACATTTCGACTATTTATTTACAGTTATCGTCAGAAGAATGCCATGCTTTTAAAAGTCAACTATTTACATGGCATTCTCCTGAAGTGAATTTAGAAGGTTTGAAACGAAGCCAATTTTTCACAAACGAATAGTTGAAATGTAGAGAGTTAAAATGTTTTAAAAGAATTCACAGAGAGTCTAATGTTTTCTGTGAAATATCAATTAGCAACATAATGCACGCTGCTGATCAAGTATTACTAACCATAATTTCCCAACACTGAGGATTATCTTAATTTGTTTTTTTAGAACTAACTTCCAAATGTCTCGGTTAGAATAAATACAAAGAAAATACTAAAACAGATTAACAAGTCTTCCCAAGAGATGAGTTGCCGAACCATAGAAAAGTTCTTAATATATTAATGCTCTTCATGAATTTCAAACTGACTGGTATATAAGACTACTAGTTTATACCAACTTTTTATACAGTATGTAAATACAACAATTAATAAAAATAGAGCTAAACCTAACCAGTAAACATAAATGTTTGATCTAAAATTATATATGTTTGATCTAAATTTATATTGTTTTAAATAAAATGATCTATTAAATATATATCGGTTCATGTAATTTACTCAGATTTTAACTGTTGTATATTTGACATAAGTTATAAAAATCTGGGTTTTTTCGACTTTTTTCAGATGGTTTTTGTTTTTTACCCTGAACCCGACTCACCCTATTTGCCACACTTTTAGAAAGTCGATGTTTCCGGAGTGTTTTCACACAATTTCGAGTTTTCCCAATTTCGACGAGTGTTGATATAACTGTGTATCAACACGGAAAATGTTTTGTATTTGTTAAGTATAACCTGAACCATAATTTACTGAAAATGCATTAGGACTTGTAAATCCTACAGATTTATACTCAGTTTTAGATGAACTGCAGTGCAGATCAACATGACCAGCCGAAATATATCAAATCATCATGCTAATGAAAGACCGTGAAAAATTTACCTTTGTCCATTGTCCGAGAAACACTGAAAAATGTCCGACCACTTTTTGTCTTGATCGGACATCTGTCCTTCCAAGCAAAATAATTATTTGCAGGCCTGTACCAAACATTTGGAGCGATTTGAGGCAAAATTTGACTGATCAAACACTTTGAAGGCAGATCACAACATCTCGACTGATCAAAACATCTTCTCATCAGTCAAAACTAATTGTTTTGATGGAACAAATGTTTTTAAAAAATTTCAGAAAGTTTCGAGAGGTTGGGGCATTATTTCAATTTTTCAAAAATTTCCTGTGTCCCCCCTTTGTTTACCCCAGGGTTGCCTGTGATCTCCCCTTTGCATTTGACCAAAAATTTTCAAAAGATGTTTTTATCTGTTGAAACTAATTGTTTTGATGAAAGAAATGTTTTTCATTAATTTTCAGAAAGTTTCGAGAGGTTGGGGCATTATTTCAATGTTTCAAAAATTTCCTGTGTCCCCCTTTGTTTACCCAGGGTTGCCTCTGTGATCTCCCCTTTTCATTTGACCAAAAAATTTCAAAAGATGTTTTTATCTGTCGAAACTAATTGTTTTGGTGAAAGAAATGTTTTTTAACAATATTCAGAAAGTTTTATGTAGGTTGGAGCATTATTTAAATAAAGTTAAATACGGCTGTTAAAATTTCCTGTGGTTCCGGCTTATTTAGCCACATCCCAGAACTACATGGGAACCCTCTTTAGCATCTGAGCAAAATGTTCAAAAACATTGAAGTGATATTTTACTAAAATTTGTTACATTGCTTTTTTGGGCATAAATTGGCGCGTTTAATGGCCTTTCTCCTTATAACTAAAATTTCGACCTAGACAAAAATTTCATCACAGCTTGAAACAGCATCACAAAATTAGTAATATTCCAAAGTTTTGTTGCAAAATCTTGTAAAATGCGGATAATATAGCCTTGCGAAGTTTTCCGTTTTTCAGTCATTTTGTATTACAAACGGGAAATTGACATACGATTCGGGTGTTGGGGCTGCAATTTCCCGTTTGTAATGCAAAATGACTGAAAATTGGAAACTTCGCAAGGCTCTATTTTCCTCATTTTACAACATTTCTCAACGAAACTTTGGAATATTACTAATTTTGTGATGCTCTTTTAAGCTGTGATGAAATATTTGTCTAGACTTGCCTAGATCAAAATTTTGGTTATAAGGGGAAAGGTCTATTCATTAATTGTTCCTCATAATGTTAAGACTTTTATTATTTTTTCAGATTGATCGACTCCCATTGAAATAAAAATGACCGTAACTATATGACTATAACTTCACCAGAAAGGTAAATGATTACTGAATAGACGGCAATAGAAATTGGATTTAATTGGAAATTTTGTGACATACATTATTAATTATAGCGAGAGTAAAAACCCGCATGTAAAGAACAGCCTTAAATTAATGCAATTAATTATTTAAAGAAGAAGAAAAAACACTTCCGGCTGACAAGTACATGCATACTGGTTTTTCGTATTTTCTTTGAAGTGGGAAAATTATTCAACCCGGCACATATACATAGTTTAATATCAGTAGTATTGAAAAACACCATGACCATGTCTATTAAACAAAACCTACTTTACAATAAATGAAATATTTAGGTAAGAAGTAAGGCAAATGGGCAAGAAACAGCAAAAAAGTAAGGCTGTAGCCTTAACTTTTCGTCCATTTTCAGCCACTTTTTCTATTTTTGAAAAAGAGGCGTAAATTGGCAAAAAGTGAGGCTATAGCCTTACTGTCGTTCCAATTGAAGTGTTCCTCAAATATTGATTCAATACATTACCTCGGGCTGACCAATTCATTTGATCAAGTTCCTCGAAATATTCATACACTTCCTAGTATAATTGTAAACTTCCTGTTGAATAGTTTGAATGCACCAATCACCTTTGTTGTTTGTGCAACTAACCAATCATAAATAGAGAGGAAGTGACCAGAAATGATCAAATACTTGGAATTGGCTCTTTCACAGGAAGTGTATGAATATCTCGAGGAACTTGATCAAATGAATTGGTCAGCCTGAGGTAATGTATTGAATCAATATTTGAGGAACACTTCAATTGGAACGACAGTAACTATTCGTCCAATTTCAGCCACTTTTTCTATTTTTTAAAAGAGGCAATAATTGGCAAAGAAGTAAGGTCATAGCCTTAACTTTTCGTCCAATTTTAGCGACTTTTTCCATTTTTCATAAGTGGGCAAAACACAGCAAAAAGGTAAGGCTATAGCCTTAACTTTTCGTCCATTTTTACTGACTTTTGTCATTTTTCATAAATGGGCAAAAAACAGCAAAAAAGTAAGGCTATAGCCTCAACTTTTCGTCCATTTTTAGCGACTTGTGCCATTTGTGTGTTCATTAATTATAGAGTCGAAGGGGAAAGAATTAAGTAGAATAAAAAACATAACCATTTCACCAAGAGTCCTGGTGGTCTAGTAGTACCTTCATCGCGTGAAATATCGTGTGGGGGGACAATAGTAGACGCCGTTTGCGGCGCCGAATTTCCAGAGGTTAACACGGAGGAAGTGCTAACAAGATAATAAAAAACCAACCCTTCTTTAAGTAAATTTAGTAATAAAAAGTAAAGTTTTTAGTAATAAAAAGTAAAGGTTTTTAGTAATAAAAAGTGAAGTAAGACAAGTTAGTTACTAAATTTACTGACTAACTTGACTTACTAACTAACTTGACTTGCTAACTTGACTTGACTTACTTGACTTGACTTACTAACTTGACTTGACTTGACTTACATGACTAACTTGACTTACTTGACTAACTTGACTTACTGACTAACTTGACTTACTTACTTTACTTTACTTTACTTTACTTTACTTTACTTTACTTTACTTTACTTACTTGACTTAACTTGACTTACTTACTAACTTGACTTACTAACTTGACTTACTTACCTGACTTACTCGACTTGACTTACTTGACTTGACATACTTGACTTGACATACTTGACTTGACATACTTGACTTGACATACTTGACTTACAGACCCATATTTAGTTATAAAAAAGAGATGGATCCAGTGGATAAGTATTAGTTATAAAAAAAAAAGATGGATCCCATGGATCCAGTGGATAAGGATTTAGTTTAAAAAAAAAAAAATGGATCCCATGGATCCAGTGGATAAGTATTAGTTATAAAAAAAAAGATGGATGCCGTTGATAAGGATTTAGTTATAAAAAAAAGATGGATCCCACGGATCCGGTGGATAAGGATCCATCGGATTCATTTTCTTTTAGAAGTACTAAAAAAAAAAGATGGATCCGATGGATCCAATGGATAAGTTTTAGTTATAGCTAAATACTTATCCATTGCATCCATCTGATCCATCTTTTTTTAGAAGTACTAAAAAAAAAGATCGATCCGATGGATCCAATGGATAAGTTTTAGTTATAGCTAAATACTTATCCATTGGATCCATCGGATCCATCTTCTTTTAGAAGTACTAAAAAAAAAGATGGATCCAATGGATAAGTTTTAATCTTTTTTTAGAAGTATTAAAAAAATAGATGGATCCGATGGATAAGTTTTAGTTATAGCTAAATACTTATCCATTGGATCCATCGGATCCATCTTTTAAAAAAAGATGGATCCTTATCCACCGGATCCGTGGGATCCATCTTTTTTTTAATACTTCTAAAAGAAGATGGATCCGATGGATCCAATGGATAAATATTTAGCTATAACTAAAACTTATCCATCGGATCCATCTTTTTTTTTCCTTTGCCTTTCGAATATGCTTCGATTAACAAAAGATCAAAGAGTTTGGCTTTTCAATTAATACATAAAGTTATTGCAGTTTTCTCAATTAATACATAAGGTTCGGTCACACGGAGCGACAAGTCGCAGGGGCATGTTGCAGGGACATGTCGCCCGAAACGAGTCACACGAAGCGACAATGCTAGGCGAAAACAAGTCGCACAAGCGCTTACAGGCGCGTGGTCACACGAGGCGACAATTCATGCGACAAGTCAAAGAACTCCCATGAGGACTTATATTGAAATTGAGCGTGCAAGTAGTCATGGGAATGATATTTTGTGATTGGTCGGACTAATTATTTCCCCGCGACTTGTGAACAGACTAGCTCACACGATGCAACAAGTCGTGGCAACGGTTTTTGTCCCCGCGACACGTCGCATGAAATCAAATCAATTTGATTTCATGCGACATGTCGCGGGGACACTTTTCTGTCCCCGCGACAACGCTTACACATGTGACACACGATGAAATTCGACCCCGCGACATGTCCCTGCAACATGTCCCTGCAACATGCCCCTGCGACTTGTCGCTCCGTGTGACCGAACCTATAAAGTTATTGCAGTGTTTTATGATCCTTACTGGACCTCCATGGAGACGATTTTAGACAGACCTATAAAGAATGCAAAATGTATTAACACTGAACCAGGATTTAAATGTCAGTGTATACCTGGTTTTAAGGAATACGATAATGGAAGAACATGCAAAGGTAATGTTATTTTTTGTATTCGATGTTTTTGTATTCAATATTTCTGTCACTGATTTTGTTGGCTTTTTCTCTTCTTCCCATTCTAAAATCATTTTGTTGGGGTTTTTTTTATAGATCTGAACGAATGCTCAAACAAATTTCTCTGCAAAGCATGCTAAATGTACAAACCTTCCTGGATCTTACAAATGTGAATGCAATCCTGGCAATAAATGCAAGAAATATTTCTTATGCGCCGTATTCAAACGAAACTTTCTACACGAAAGCGCTTGAATACAAGGGGGTATTTCACTCCTATTGACTTAGTCTGAAGAGTTCAAAAGGTATTCAATTTTTTCTCCATATGAAGCAAAAAATGTTTGGCCAAGCGTTGAGTAAATATACGATTGTTTTGGTTCAGTGTATTGGTATGACGGCATTTGATCCACCGTTCGAAAGGTTATTTTATGAGGATTTCAACGGTGGTTTTCGTTTTAAAGGGCGGGCAATCTCGTTCCCAGAGTATGCCTGTTCGCGGGTTAGAGATCGAAGGGCGGGTAAATACATGCCGAAATATGTTAATCTCCCCACTCGAAAGTCGGAAATGGGAATATAAACCGGACGGCATTGACATTCTTTGTTTTTGATCCAGTAGACGCCATGTACGCTACAGCGTACCTATTTTTTCCTTCCTGCCAGCATAAACAATTTATGGGACCAATCGCTACCAGGTCGCTTGTTCTGTAAGCTGAACCATAGTTAATATATGGCTGAACCAGGGCGTGGCTAGCCTGCTCACAGGCTCTATACAGTATAGCCTCTGCCTGACAACGGCCTGCGAGCAGGCTAGGGCGTGGCTGAACCTATGGGCTGAACCAATCAGAGCTCGCGAGAAGAAGCTGTATGCAAGAAGTCGTGGCGAATTTGAAAATTCTGCTCGCCATTTTGACTCGAAGCTTAGCAAGAAATTCATATTTTAAAAGCGTTTTATCAAACTTTATCGAAATAAAATAGTTATGCCATGCAAGGGGACAGGTTAGTATTAAACTTAGCTATATTGTAAACGTTTATGAGCTGTTCTTGTCAAGTTCTAGCCGTGTTTTGAAACACGTGCTACAAATTCATTGAATTACTTCGCCTCCCATCCAAGCACTTCTTTATCGTTTAGTCGCTTCATTTCCTTTGTATTTCTCCCAAATTTTCTCGCAGTAATGTTCAGAAATACCCCAGCTTTAATTGATATAACTCTTATTTGTTTTATCTACTTTTTCAGGCAACAATTTGACGAGAAAGTTGACAAAGTTTACTGATTTACAGTAATTAAGTCGCCGACCTGCCGAAGACTCTCGAAGCACACGGTAAGCATATATGGCCCCGCATCAATTGGGGTGAATAAGGTTTTCAGATCATCGGATTTCACAGAAAAGATTGTTCGGATTTCAGATCTAGCGAATATTTTCCACAGATTTGCGGATCTTATTAATACAGCGGATTGCAGATTTATCTAATATTTTGGCTCGGATTGTGGATTTAGCTTGCAATTTAGTTCGGATCCTGGGTTGTGACTTGAAGCTTTATAAACCCTCAAAGTTAATTAAATTCAGTTTACATTTTAAAATCAGTACCAACAGAGTGAAATGCCGAATAATTTTTGCATGGCGCTTTCAAACATTTTGGCTTGTGCAAACTTGTGTGTCATGAGCCCATGTGTGTCATGAGCCCATGACTTAACTCTCTGCCAGATAGTTTGCAAAATTGCAAAGATTTCAACATTTTTAAAACAAGTGTGAAAGTACCTCACGGACTTGGCCCACGAGAGGCTCGGGCCGGGGTATAAATGACTATGTTTTGTTACACCCGTTTTGTGAAATATGTAATGTGACTGTGTGAATGTACTGTATAGATTTATTAACTCTTCATAGCTACTCATTGTAAATATAGTACTTGTTAATATAGATTAATTAATTTAGTGATAGAAGAGCCAATTCAATTTGGAATCGCTAATAAATCATTATTATTATTATTACTTGGCTGTATCGAGCAACCACACCCTGTGTGATGTAATATTTCAAATCTGACTAGGCCAAAAAAAGAAATATGTGGGTTTCCGGTTTCTTCTTATAAAAACTTAGGTAGGGTAGGTCGGTTTTAACTTTTTTTTTTTAACTTTTTTTTTTTAATTTTCCTAACAACCCACTGATCTGAAATAAGACTGGATAATGCATCTATAGTATACAAAAGTGAAGCCGGAAGTCACCGGCCGCCACCCGATTCTGGGCCCCCACTTTTGTATAGATTTGTATTACAGACGGTTAGTTTTTCGCGTTTTTTTGCCTTGGCTACGTTTCCGACCGGGCCAATTTTACAATCACAAAGATAGAAGAAGCATACAAGAAGAATTTTGAGCAAAAAATTTGGAGTATTATGGCTTTATAACGCTGCGAAACGGGATTTACAACTCTGAAGGAGTGGAGAGCCTCAGACTTTGTTTATCAACATGAGCTCGTTTTGCTACTTTCATACAGAATCAACTCAAAATATACAAGAATTACTGTTACTGGATGAATATTCTCAGGAAATTTGAAGAAATGAAGCAGCTACATTGTGAACAAAAGCGTACTGAGGTTTAAATAGTTTTAAAATACCTTGAGGCTACTTTTATAATATTTATATGAATTTATATTAAGGACAGTTTTAAATATCAATTTTGTCAAGAGCATTCCTTGGCGCCTTGTCGAGAAGTTTTATACGTTTTAAAGTAGGAAGACAAGTGACAATCAAATACTTTTAATCCAAATTAAGCCTTAGAGAAACAAAAATAGATAATAGGAACCAATAGACAATTCCCATTATAGACTATATTTTTATCTTAGGGAGTGGTCATTATTTATGGGAGGGGGGGGTTGGAAGTGGGAGGGGGGGGGGGCAAATGAAGTTTTACCCTTATAAATAGGGGAGGAGGGTAAAAAATGTTTTAACACAGAGAAAGGGGGGGGGGGTCATAAAAGTTTTTGATTCTATAATCACAAATAGCAAAAAAGAAGACTTTGAAAATGCTATTTCCAACAATCTAGAGACTCAAAATTTTCAAAATTTCCCTGCTCGGCGCCAACCATGGTAGCACCTCGCGATCGTGTGAGTCGGGCCCACTAAATTAACAAGCTTTCTACCCCCTGAGTGACCCAGTTGTGGTATTTACATAAACATACCATGCAAGTACACTTAACTAATCAAATTTGGTCTATCAATGCAGAATGTAATGCTGTATCTCCAAAAATCTGTTTCAGAAAATGCTCACATTTCAGTTGTAGGGGTGGAAAAATACAAAAAATTTTGTGGGGGAGAATGCCCCCAGACCCCCTACTAATGCATAAGATACCACACCAAACTTTTTGTCACCAACAACCATCTCTCATCTCTCCAAACCACACTCAATATAGTATGGTCCCTTTTTGTAGATGCCCCCCCAGACAAGTTCTTAAAAAACTGTGTTCAAATCATTTTGCTGTATGAAGACGGGTTATGGGTTAGGGTTATGGTAGGACAAATGTTGCATTGCAAAGTAGTAACACGTCATAATATATATTTTTTAATCATATATGTGGTTGAATCATATTCACCAGGGTAAAACATCATGAGCTAGATTAAACAGATTGTCCTAATATCTAACTTTACCTGCAACGCACACCTGTTTCATTGCTGTTAATTTTTCAATCCACACTGGGGGGGGGGTCAGAAAAGTTTCTACTTTTATGAGGGGGGAGGCACAAAAAGTTTGCCTTCAGTCTGGAGGGGGGGGGGGCAAAAAAGTTTTCAATTCTTCTTTTCCCCATTTCCCAACC